CTGTGAAACAACTTACAAAAAAGGAAATAAACCACCAAAGGTGACTTAATTGAACATATGGTATGAATCAATTACATGATCCACGCATGGTTAAGAACAAGCAGGGATACTGATGAGCATCTGAGGGCAATTGTGGAAAGATACACACTTTCCTGGAGATATTTACATGGCATCTGAGTAAGATTTGTCAGTGCAAAAGATGTCACATGGAAATGGTACTATTTTATGGAGCAAACACAGAAATCTCTGAAGAACTACATATAACCTAATGCTTAAAGGTATGAAAAACACTTCCAGCACCATGACCTAAACCAAAGCTGCAGGTCAGATAACAGAAGTGCTCAGTTTCAGGGATAAGGAAAAAGCAAGGAGAAGCTCTAACACACAGCTGGTAAAAATACACTCACACACACTCAAGTAAAATATTGTGAAATATTCTGTATGTAACTCAACCAAATTCTAAACTGCGGATTTTAAGACATTCATGTTTTCCAGAATGACATCTTTATTGCAGCTGTCACTGAACCATAAGGTCTGGTCTTAAAGGAAACAGTTGGTGTCAGATCAAAGTAGCTGCCTTTGAGCAGAGCACAAATGTTCCCCTCCTTCTGTAACTTCTCCACAGTCTGTCTTTAAAGCAGAAATCACATGTATTTTCTAACAATCCCATGAATATGCACAAAACTGATTAGTCAAATCAAATTATCTTTCTCCCCCTTCTGCAGGCTGGGGAATAGCTCTCAAGACAAGCTATTTTACTCCAGGATTGTTTCATTTCTTTGTCATGACTCCTCTTGTGGGACTTTGATTCCTGAACCTTCGGCTGCATTTGGTACCAATATAACCTTCTATATAATTTCACTGCAAATACCAGGATGCTGATTAATACCATGAGTCCACATCCACACACTAAGGGTTGGATTTACCATTTAATCCAGCAAAATGCATATGATTTTTTTTTTTTCCTGGTGCTTTGCAAAGGTGCCTAATTAGCTTTCAATACTGTGAATTGAAAAACAGAGCAAGATATTTTGGTCTGTATTTTGTGTTAATGGTTTAACCTCAACAGCATATCTTTTCCGCAAAAGCTTTGAAAAGCATACAAATTAATGGCAGGATATGTACCACAAAACCCATCACAACTTCAGCATCTAATTAGCAGTATGTGGCAACATTCACACTGATATCCTGTTCACCACAATCTTTGCAAGACTTTATTTTCCGCTTCCAAAGTAACATTAAGGAGGACAGCTGCTCTCACATTCCACACACCAAGCCATAAACATTTATCAAGGTGCCAACAGAAAGCATCACTTCTGGGTTGTCAATATTTAATCTACAGTAAAATTAAATAATGGGTCATTAGACCCAGTTCATCAAGTCAGCAGTTCAGGGCAGATGTTGAGCTGGATGTCAGGAAGCTTCTGAGAAAACCACATGGAATCTTCTGCCATGCTTGACCATGGAAACCTCACAGAGTATCTGTATATGGATCCTACAGATGCACAGCCCACAGCACTGAGTTTTCAAGAACGGGCTGCATCAGCACCACCACTCCTGAGGAATCACCACACTGCAATTGTAGACAGGCAGCCTTGATGCCTTCACTGATGAACTTCACTGAAGTTCACCAGGGAACTTCAGGTAATCTGATAGTAAAAAACAGACTTGTTAACCAAGAAGCTCTGCCCCTTGTTACCCTTTCTAATTTGAAGGCCACCACAAGGCAAAAATGAAAGGATTTATGATTCTCTGTTAGAAACCTGATGTAGTAGTCCTCCTCTTCATTAAATGACTGAAAATGGCACATCACTGTGCAACCCTGTTTTTCCTGCACCTTTTTCCTTTCCAAAGGAGGACCACAACAATTTCTAGCTTATTATAAAGACTCAGCAATCAGCAATGAAGAATAACAACACTCATTTGTCAGGCTATTAGAACTTCTTCCATTTCAAAGACTTCACCATGCTCTCTAAAGTTTAATAAACTTGGCTTGATGGAAGCTCCTTCTTCAGACTGCCGTGGGAGAAGCATATGAAGAGAAAACCTGTCCTTAGGCTGACTATCAGCAGCCAAGCCTTCACAACTTTTGTGCAGCTCGAAGATGAGGGAAGGGGTGAATGATGAAGCAACTTGTCTGACCAGGTCTACGGAGAGGACAAAGGCCCCTCTGCCTTACAGTTGTAGCCTTGCCACACAACTTCTCTTTACTCATTTAACCAGTAATAGGCAAAATACAAATTACTTTCTCTAATGGAAAATTTCCCAATCTACAGATAAGCAAATCCTTTTGTTTTCTCCACACTTTCTTTGCAAATAAGAAAAAGAGCACTGCAGTTTTTGTACTAGCACAGACCTGAAGGCAGAATGTAACTGCATATGGCCTATTCCTCATATTTCCCATTGGTTAATGTTTGTTCCAGTTCTCTCTTTAATGGGTAATTTTCTTGAAAAATTTTATCCTTCACAGCACATTACTGTTCTTAATTAGAACATTCCTAAACAATTGCCATTCAAACTTCTGATCACCACAGATAACTCACAGGCAGGTATCATCCACCACTCCCACCACTGGAAAGGTGCTGGGGAGCTATTATAGCCTTTGGAAAGCCCCCTTGTCAGAATATTAGAATCAACTCTGTCGTTCAACTCTATGCCATTTCTTCTTTCCTGAAAGGTCGAAAGTCTTCAAAGTAGTGTCATCACAACAAAGTTTCTAAAACGTAATTAGGTGACTTAATTATTTGTGGGTATATTTCTCTTCGGCAGTATACATGTGGTTGTATAGTAATTTTCACCTGCTATCACATGCAACATGTGCCTTCCAATTTGATTTCTTTTTTTCACCACATCAAAAAAGGAAACCCAGACCTGCTTTCTCTGCCTGTTCTGTTAATCTGCCCCTGCCCTACTTACTGCTCATGTGTCTACTCTGGCATAAGGTGACACACATCCCTGACACAGACATCTACAGTTTTGCATTACTGTGGCTTGGGAGGTTATTTTTTTACTTCAGTGTCCTTCCTCTATAAGCTAATGGAGGAAGTTTACTAATTTCACCAATCTTTTATCTTATGAACCTCAGTATAATATAATTTGCTGCAACCATTTCTGACATCTCACACCTTGTATCAGGTGTGTCCTCTCTGTAAGTGTTCTGCTTCTGAAACTTACTTTATTCTAATTAATCTCTTTGAAACAGCCTCACATTTGTTATCAAGACTTCCACACAACTCCCAGCACTCAGAATAGGTAGAAGAAATATAATTGCTTGTGAATTGTGCAACTAGTTGATGTGAGTAAGGCAGGAAGACAGCAAAAAGCACAGTTTGAGGAATTTAGATCTAATAGTGTTAAGCATAATCCTGTACTATCTTGTAATTTCAGAAAAAATATTTATATAATAAATACACCATTTAAAGAACCTTAAAATTACTGAGAACGCTAATAGTACAAAGTGAACCTCACATAAGCACCCCAAGTATCATCATCATCAAGGGCAATACATGGGTTATTCACCATAGTAGTTCTCAAAGCCTGGCAAATTCCACTGAAAAGCAGTAAGGGCGAAGCAGACAGGGCTTTCCACTCTTATTCAGCCAATGAGATCCACAGACTTTTTCACTTTTCAGAGACAAGTAAATCTGTTAAATGCTATATTCCTTAGCAGGAGGAGAGAATGGAAACTGATAAATGGAATGGAATGAATGGAAACTAATAAAACTCCAAACAGATGTTCAAAGCATCTAGAAGGGGAAATGGGAATTTATACAGAAATCCAGTTTTATTACAAGTGCTCTGTCAGTGCTACCATTTAGGTGTGCTAATGCAAAATGTATTTATTAAAGAAAGACCCAATTAAGAAAATTGTTTAAGTAACTCTCAGTAGTGCAAGCAACACAACTGTGAATGATGCTGCAGTGCTAACATACAAAAAAAAAAAGATTAGTATGAAAGTTTATATATTAACTTGTAGGAAAAGATGAAGAGCAGAAATGAAACTACTAATAAAAAATTACTACTGAAATTCTTTGTGGGTATTTTTTTACTTTAATGCTAGGGATCTGTGAACACTTCTGTGACTTCTTAGTTTTGTCCAAGAGAATGATTTCACTAACTGTGGGTGCAGTCTTCCAGTGCTGAGGAGCTGGGAATTTTGCCTCTGATTTGAGCAGACTGAGGCTGACACATACAAGCTGCAGCCACTGAAAGCTGGAAGCAGGACACTCCTTCACGTAAAAAAGGCAGAGAGGTACAGCTTTGATCATTTCATATATAGGCAAATCAAGGCTCAAAACTTTTTTTTTTTCCAGAATTATTGCTGTTTTATTGAATAAATTCAAACATTTGTCACAGAGACTTCTACTTTAAGTAAGAAAAACCATTAGAGATCTCTTGCTGAATTATTATCAGTACATTCATCTCTTGATAGAAATAACTAAGTCTTCACACTCACGGGATGCCTATATGAAGAATTCACATAAAATACTTGAAAGGAGGTAAGTCTAAATTTTAAAATACATTTAAATGTCTTGATCACTACCTCAAAAAAGATCACCAAACACAGCTGTAGTTTAAGTCAAACAGCAGTAAAACAGAGAATTCTGTTTGTCTCAAATTCATCAATTTGCTAACAGATACACACGCTGGATTAAGACTTGAGACAGCAATAATACAATCTCTTGAAGAAACCGTGAGATATACATTCTGACAGATGGATTTGGGCTTCAAGCTTTGGCAAGCAACGTGCAAGTTGCAGGACACATACACAAGGGGCAAGGTGTGCACAACACCAGGAGAAGGCATCTGGGTGACAGCACTGGCAATGCCACATGCAAGGCTAGTAGTAACAGACTAAGGCTTCCACGCGGTTTTCTAAGTTGTTCTGGGTTTTTTTTGGCTATTTTGTTTTGCTTTGGCTTTTCTACAAGATTTCCCTACTTTGAAGTCGATCGCCATTGCTGTTCCGGCGCCGTTTCTCCTGGTGCTGCCACAGCACCCTAGTTCTGCCGGCGGCATGACTTCTTGCGGGCTGCTCCGCTGCCCTTCGGGCGGCCGCCGCCTCTGCGCCTCCCGGACTGGCAGGAGGCCCCAGGGCGGCAGCCCCCGCTGGGCCCGGCGCCCGAGGGCTCGGCCTCTGCTTCGGCCTCGGCCTCTCTTTCGGCCTCGGCCTCGGCCTGCCCCTCGGCCTGCCCCTCGGCCTGCCCC